TTTATAATAATTATAACTAAAGTAATGTACGATTTATTAGTATTAAAACCAAAACTCAAAAAAAAACTTTCTTAAAAAGTTTTTAATTTGAAGTTACAATTTGTTTGTGTGAAGTTCGCGCGCAAACCTTGCAGGAAAACGAAGCCCCACTATAATATATTTTTTAGTTTTCATTCTAGTTATTTAAGCGCTTAAATAAAATATAAATAAGTTAGGAGTATATAAGATGTGTAAATAAGTCGCAAATGTAACATGTCATTATTAAAAGAGAAGTTAATATTTTGCACTTTAAACGAATGTAATGTACACATTAACGCGTGATAATAATAAAACAAGTTCATACACACATATTTGGAACAGGGCTAATATATATTACGCTCACTGTAAGTATTAACAATGTCTATTAAAGTGATATTTTTAATGGCACCATCATTATCATCATTATTATTATCATTATTCCTATCAACTTCATTCTCACTACCATCATCTACCATTTTCGTTCACATTATTTTTTCCATTATCATCAGTATAAGCATTATTTCTATCCTTATTGACATTATTATTTTTGTTACTTTTATCACAATCATTATATTTATGGATTATTATGATTATTACCATCAACATCATATGTTATTGTCATCTCCAGCATTATACAAGCTTCAACTAGAGAACCCACAAAATGATTGGTAATGTCATTGCTGCAAAACAGTATTAACAAGTACGAAACATTTGTTTTCTACTTAAAACTTTGGCTATACTGTCTTTGTGTATAACTACTATAGTTAATTAATTTAACTACCTTTAATAATTGCTTATTTAAATCAAATTGGGATGTACACAATAATCTTCTCATGGCAATAAGTAAGCAAGATCTTCCACTGACATTTGTATATTTTTTGTATTATGAAAAATCCATGAAAGCCTAAGTATCAGGAATCATTGTAAATAGAAAAAAAGTAATTTTCAGTAGTGGGAGACTGGGTATGGTTGTGCCAATTTTTAGTTAAGAGCCCGTAACTTTGAAAGTATAACACTTAGTGGGATGAAAATTAATGGTCATGATGAATTCAGGACTTTTCTACATGTGTATACAAAAATTATGACTGCAGGTACAGCCGTTTACATGTGCAAGTTGTTAAAAAAAAAAAAAATGGCCCAACCGACCACACCCCAGAGGTGGTTGTAACTATGCCTGCGGACGGTTATGACAGGTTAAAAAAAATATATTTAAACCATTTTAAATCACTTTTATTGTATTACATGTTAAACATAATGTAACAGTATCTTTTTCTTGGAAAATATAAAATTAACTGTTAATTAAAGACATCAAATTTGGAACATTTTATGGCTTGTATCTAATTTTGAACAGTATAATCTATTATTATAGATATTATATACCCATAGTCTATATCAGCGCAACATAGTAGGTATTTTGACAATCACTATTCTTGCTCCTTGAAAAAGACTTTATTATGAGTAACGTAACCTATACTGACGCAGCCTCTGTTGTTACCATTCGCATTGGCTGCATTACGTATACGAACGTATCGCAGTAATGTCATGTGATTTATTTAGTACATTTCTGCAGCTTTTTGTATAGAAATCTCCTGTTTTGTATTATTGCATGCCTTTCAACATCGCACGCACCTCTTTCCGTTCCCTTAGAACGTTTACAAGGCATCTGAAAAGAAAAAAAAACTAATTTTACTTGTGTAACAACCGTACCTAGGCAGTATGTCACAACCGTACCCACCGCACTCATTTGAAAAAAAATTACCATGTTAACACAACATAACTTACATGAAAATTAACCACTGCTCTTTATACACTAGTGTGTATCTTATAACAAGGAAAAATACTCATTACTCGATCTGTACGTATTCAGCGATAGTTGCAAAAAAAAGTTTAATGAAAATACTTACATTTCAATTCCCAAAAGTAATGAGGGTCTCTGCTGTCGTTGATATCACACGGCAGCTAATGCTATACTGTGAAACACAAGTAGCCCAGTACTTCACCCCTCTCCCCTCTTGTATGTGGTGGTTCTCTCTTATAGTTTCGCCAATATGACCACTGCCACAACTGTCCTTTGGCACAACCATACCCAGTCTTCCCCTAGCGTTATAAAATTGTTATATTAACTTAAAAAAAAAAAAAGTTAAATATAAAATGTGGTTTTCACTAACACGCAAATTGGTTGTTACTTAATTGACAGAGAAATAAAGACTTTTCTATAAAGCTAACTTGGATGTCAACGTATACTAGTAATAACTTATTTTAGACTATATTGGTTTTAGATACTTGGTTTTTACTTAATTACAGCCTAGAAAAATACATTTTTAACAGTAGCATTTTTATAGTCTAATAGTTTTAAACTTTTCCGTTCAAAAATGTAGGTATCTTAAAAACCTATAAAATTGTGATTGTTAACAATCTACTTGCTTGCTTATTAAAAAATAAGAAAATTTAATGCAAAACTAATTTTTATAGTTTATTTCTAAGTATCCAATGTATAAATCTCAGCCTTTTATAAATATTCCACGATTGTAAATCTTCGCTTGATAACATCCTTAAAAGTGATTGTTTTATGTTTAATCATCCTTGCATCATCACAGTTGCTATTAAAATTTAACTTACTACGCGGAAAGCCATCTGACAGAATAAAAAAAAGGCTCGTTAAGTTTTTATAAGGTGTTATTGATATTCAATATTTAATGTTAATTTTTTTTTTAACTGATTGCATATTAATGTAACTCTAAAAAGCTTCTTTATAAGATGCATTTTTAAATAAATCCAACTTAAAAATGCTATGACCAGAGATTTTACATTGTATTACTAACGCATAAAGTATTAGCTTAAGGACCTAAGTGGTGAGATTATTGCACGTTTGTCCCTGAGACACGTACATTCATCTTTTTCGCCTAAAGTAAAAAGTGCAGCTTCGCATATTCAGCTTTATGGGAACACTTTGTGCCTGGTAAATAGCTTTATCAGAAAATTACTTTGTGTCTGAGAAGTTAAATCTAATGATAAAGTTATCACAAGAGCGCAATGTGCAGCCCAATGACAAAAAGCAAACGTTACATTCTTCCCTCTAGGCAAGAAAAATCAATTTCTTGACACCATAAAGCTACAATAATCTTTTCCACATAAACGTAACCATACAAAAGAGTTGATCATTTATGTGCGTGACTAAGAGCTTTAAGAAAATGGAAACTCAGTTCTGCACTTACTTTTTCCAAAATGCTTATTTTCCTTGCCAATAAAGGATTAAATATTAGTACACTATGTTACTTACTTTGTAATACACACCAAAAAAACTTTGAAAGTCACTGAGATATTAGGTTTTAAAAAGTAAACTGACCCTTGAAAATGTTACAGAAGTTTTGTAGCACAATAGTAATGTCTATTGGGATACACTTATACAAAGACTGTTACTGCTGCTTGTTGTCTAGTGCGTAAATAAAAAATATTAGCTGCTCAAGATCAAGAGCGAAAAGTCTTACCTGTCTCTGGTTTTGAGACTTTATCTATACTTTAGCGCTTGACATAATTGTCAAAAAAAATTGTAAGATTCGAAATTCTTACATCGATGTGAGAAAACGTGAATACTCGATATAAACACTAAGTAAAAGATTTTTTAATGTTTATTTTGAGGTATGACACGTTGTATGTTTTTTTAATGTAAGCAAGTTATTTTTAGAGTAATTTTTGACTTTTTTGAACATCTTGAAAATAAATCAATTTAAACTGTATTTTTGTTGTTTAAATAATGTTACTTTTATTGCTGAAAAAGTCATCCAAAAAATAAGATACTTTAACTTACTTATCAACTCATATAAGTTCAACTTAAAACCGCCATTAGTCATAAAATATTAAGAATGCTCATGTTTCAGCAAAAAAAGATATTTTTTTGCTATCATCCTTTTTTGTCTGTGCATTGTAAAATAAGTATATCGACATCCTCATCCGTTTTGGCAGTCTTAATATGCACTTTCTTGTTTTTAAATTAAACATAAGACAGTAACACTACATAGCATTTATTAAACTGTTAAGATACTGTACTTCAATCGGTATCAGATTTGTATCTTACGTGTTACTGACTTTGATTCAAAGAGATCAATATTTTAAATAAAATTTTTGTGTAGAAGTTAATTGATAAACTTGAAATTGGTTCTGAACACGAATGTAGTTTTCCTAATTTTTACACGTTATGAGTAATTAAAAAGTAATCGTAATACATTTAATATTCCAATTTGATAACAAAAAAATGATTATCAAATATTGTTATTATCACTTTTATGAACTATAAATTAATATACCCTAAAAAACATCCTCAATCATAAAAATCATAATTCCTTTATCAAAGTAACAATTTCGTTACCATTAGAAAAATAAAAATTAGAATTTGAAGAAAGACGACCCTAAGTAACCATTCTTTAGCTAATCTTTTACAAACAATTACTTTTGACTAAATATTATCTAAAAACATTTTATTCACTTGTTGTTCTTTGTAGTCCTTACCAAAAATGTTATCGGGAAAATTATTATAGATATTATATACCCATAGTCTATATTTTTGGCTTAAAATTATGAAAAATTATTAAACAAATAAAATTCGTGCATTTCTATTCTTATCTTCAGTTTCGCACCGTCTCCTCAGCAGATGCCTGAAATTAAAGCCTGTGACTAAGGGTGGAACTTAAAATTGCCTTGAAATTTAGCACGAAACTAGTTGCTCGTCTTAAAAGTCCTAAAGTAGTTAATTTAGCTTCACAACTTACAAATAAGTAAAAATAAGTATTTGACAAAGAAAAGAAAAAAAAGAGGTGAAGCAACATAACTTCCCTGTGCCTTTGTGAAAAAAGTGTAAGATGGTATAAAACAATCATATTTTAATGTAAATACTTAATATTAATTATGAAAGTTAAACCTTACACTGTAATTTTCAGAATCAGATCTACCAGGGGAAAACATTTTAATCATTCTGTACACATGTGTGCTATTGGTCTCACTATCACTTTTACTTCTGACAATAACTGCTTATCTTATAACGCCAATACTTCAAGACCTACATGGACTAGCTCTCTGCTGTTATTGTTGTTGTCTTGTGCTTGCCTTCATGAGTCTAGCCATTGTCCAGCTCACGAGTACCTACATGTCCTTTGATGTCTGTTATACTGCAGGTAACTACAATAAAACACTCAATATCTTGATATGAGTCTTTTTATTTCCATTATCGTGTAACAGTCCTCACAGCTGACTTAACGTAACAGAAGTTTGTATTCTCAACTAACAATATCAAGCTGTTTGAATTATTAATATTTTTAAAAAAGAAACAACTATGCGTTATTCAATTTATAAATAAATGAACATGTTTGCAGTTTATGTTAGCATCAAAGTTTTCCTAGTTAGACCAAGTTGAAATACAAAACTTACTTAAAGTGTGATTAATATTTTTTAATAAGACAGATATGGTTTTTTACTTTTACTGCTTTTTATTCAAGAATAACTGTCATTAAAATTATTTATTAACTCTTGGTTGATCTCTTGGGGCAAACTTCCAAATAAAAAACACTACATGTTTTGTACGTAGTGAAATTTCATTGACTAGGGCGTTAACCTTTTTAGGCTTAAACGCAAATACCAAATGGAATTATATAACGTAGCAAAATTTGCTTGCACGTAAGTCAAACAGGCAAGAGTGTGTATCAAAGCCTTAAGAAGTTGACAGTCTCGTCGATGAAATGTTGCTTTATAAGAAGCTTTTTGTGTTTTTTATTTGGTAGTTTGCCCCAAAAGGTCAACTAAAAATTAATGAATAGCACTAATACAAGGGGTAAAAAACAATATTATTGCCATTAAAATTGCTTATGATCTCTGGAAGATCTTACATTCTATCTGCTGTTGCTTGTTTTTTACGCTTTTTTCTGCAATTTTGAGGTAATTATTTAAAGCATGATTTTTTAAGTATACACGCACTTAAATAAATATGTTGAATCATCGTTTTCATTTAATTTAAACCAAACAAAAATGGCTATTTTTAATCGTGTTTTTTTACTTAGTTTTTTTCGAATAGTATTTCTAGTATATTTTAAATATGTTGGGCTGGATTTGTTACAATAACACTTCTGCTAGACAAATACAGCATATACTAAGTAATAAAGTGTTAAATAATGTAATATAGTAAAATACTTTTGAGTTGTATTCTAATACAATTTTAGTACAGTATAGCTTGTAACTGTTATCATAGGAATAGTAGATCAACGGTAGAAAAGGATGTTAAAATCTGAAAATAAAAATCGTACTTCAATCGTTTTTAAAAACAAAAAGTCATAATTGATGTCTAGGGCAACGGTGCGCGAAGTATGCAGAAGGGGTGAAGCCCCACTTATGTATTTCTATGAGTGTATATTTCCATGTTATCCAATTATAAAAGAAAGTCAACATAAGCCCCCACAGGCAGCCACAGACTGTAGTTCCACCCTAATGAGCACCCTGCAAGACCAGTAAAAATTTAGTCTTTTTATCCGTTTTTGACTGATAAGAATTTTTCGCAAACGTTCCGCCGAACCCTAACATCCTTAACCAATTTTTCTTGACTTTATAACAAATCTTTTACACAATTTTAGTGGGAAAACCATGCAAGTATTGCTCTATTTAGGCGGTGAATTTTCTGAGTTACCTTACGGAGCTCTATTAGACGGTGAAGCAACATAACTTCCCTGTGCCTTTGTGAAATTGAATTAGGAATATTATTTTGATGGATTAATTCTATCAATAAATAAACACATACATTTATTACATTGTATATTTTATCTCAATATTTAGCCTATTTCTTATTTCACACTTTGGCTAGTGTGTGTCAAAAAATTCTTTCACAATTAATTTTGTATAAAAAAAAGGTTATAAACTTACTTAAATTTTTTAACCAGTAATATATTTTATACGTAAAAGTAATTTTAACTATATAGTTAACTTATAAACTTGCAGGTGGGTAAAATTTATTTTAACATATAGAAAACATTAGCATTCTCTCAATTGGGAATAAAGTTGACTATCCATTTTAGAACGCAAATTGAAGGTTCTAAGGTAAGAAGAATTACTTTACCCCCTCATGATTTTATGGGTCCTTCTCCTCTCAGTACCTTATTAGTTTTTAACTAAAGCTCCAGCTTAGTAACTTTCAGTAGAGATTTAAACTACCACATTTGGTTTGTTATTTTATTGATTTATTTCTTTGTTTGATCCTCTTAACGACACTAATTCTTTTTGACTTTTAGTTTTATAAATATAAGAAAAAATTTTTCGTTAGTTTTTTTTGTTCTTCTGGCCTAGTACCTTTTGATATTTTTAAAATACCAATATAAAATTTCCAATTCATTAGCACTACTTTAGTAATGATAAGGTTTTTTGGATGAAATTTATTTAATTTTAGTGAAAAAATGTATTACTACATTTTGTGTACAGTTTGTGAGCTAATCTTTCTTACCATCCGGGGTACTATTTTATCAACTATTATTTATTAATATAATCAGTATTTGTTAAATTCAATCATTTTTGACAAATTTAGTTTTTTAAATATCACGCGCAGCTCCGACTTCAAATTTTGAACTGAATAGTACCACCTACCACTTGCTAGGTGGCAACTACTAGTTTCTGGTAAACATTACAAGTAAAAAATTAGCTTATAGTTTATAAGAGGAGCTGTGTGACTACTAAAAATGATCACCTTAGATTATGTAAATACGTGTATTTCATGTATCCCATCCTTTCAACTGTCTTCGTATAAAGCAGTGGCTAAAGTTCGTGCACATTCAGTAAATATCACTGTACGTTAAACTCTTCGCGTTCCTTTTTTTCTACCCCTCTGATTCCCTCTCTTTCTCTCATATTTAGTATGTACCAGGGGCTCACCTCTCCACCTCCATACCAAGAGTGAAGGAAATTGACCCCTGGTCAGCGAATAGACGACTGTATAAGAGCTACGTGGTATTTACTTACCTAGAGCTCGTCCCAAAGAAGCCTAAGTGGGACGTAGCCATTCAGTTTCCAAAAGACTTCTTAAAAAAATACTCCCCCACACCCCCTCGGGATTGCGCCTTCACCAAGGGCCACCGCCCTCTACTTCCCTGGCCACTAGTCCAGTGCCACCACTCTAGGATCTACCATAGTATTGCCACCACTTCAGGATCCAGAGGCATCTCGGTATAGGGACGAGAAAAAAAAATGAAATAAAAAATTCATGAAAAGATTCATATATATATAACCTTACA